TTTGATGAAGTAGTTTTTTGTTTTTTTTTTTCTAGTCATAACTATGTTCTATCAGAAAAACTGGCCAGGGCCGGGGATTTAGTTCAGTGGTTCTGCCACCTGCCTCACAGGCACAAGGACCTGAGTTCGATCCCCAGTACCAAAAAAAAACCTGGCCAAATCCCAGATCATTAAATAGTCTCGGATAATCACTTCTAGAGGTTTTATAGTTTCAGCTCAATTATGTTTGCAGTAGAAATTGGAGATAATTTTTATATATTGTAAGAGTTGAGGCTCCTTTATTTTCATTTTTTTCCTGCCATTGGATTAACCCAGCATCATTTGTAGAAAGAAATATCCTTCCCCTACTGAATCATGGGGATCGCACAGAGAATAAGCTGGCCATAAATGTGCGGACCATTTTTGGACTATCTAGTCTGCCCTACTGACGTCTATCTTCACATCAAGAACAAACTATTCTGAAGGCAGATAGTGTGTCACATAATCAAAATGTGTAGGTTTTTTTCAAAGTTGTTTTGGGTATTCTAAGTCTTTTGTACTTCTATGTGAACTTTAAAATAAGATTACCAATTTCTACCTAAGAAATTGATCAACCTATCAGTTTTTACCCTAACCCTGATGTGATTTTTATTTAGATTGCTTTGAATCTACAGGTCAATTTGAGGAGAAGTGGCAACTTAACAATATTGAGCCTTTTGACCTATGAATAAGCCATCTGTCCATTTATTTTGGTCCTCTTGAGATGTGGATATAGCTCAGTGGCAAGGTACTTGTCTGGCATGCACAAGTCCCTGGGTTCTATCCTCAATAGTGCAAACATAAATAAAAGAGACTTATTCAAGTCCCTTTTAACTTCTCTAACTAATAATTTATAGCTTTTAATGTATAAATCTACAACTTTATTTTTACATCTTTCTCTACCACGTTTATATCTAAGTATTTTATATTTAATTCTGGAAGCGTTTCCATAGAATGTTTAGTAGAATTCACCAGAAAAACTGTGTTATCCTGTAGTTTTCCCAAAGGGAAGCTTTATAACTACAAATACAATTTCTAGAACATACATAAGCTATTCAAATTATAAATAACTTGTATCTTAAATCTTTCAAGTAATGTATCCATCTCCTCTACATTATTAAATGCATTGAGTTTTCCAAATCTTCATTCTCTTTTCTTGTTTTTTTGAAACAGGGTCTCACTAGGTAGTTCAAGCTGGCCTTGAATTCACTATGTGGCCCAGGCGGGCCTTGAACTCACAGCAATCCTCCTGGCTCTGCCAACCACACCCAGCTTCTATCTTCTTTCAAATGCCTACAAGAGCATATTGATTGCCCTCTCTCCTTTCTAATATTAATAATTTGTCGTTATTTTTTTTCCTCAGCCTGGACAAAGGCTTATCAATTTGAGAGTTCTGATAAAAATATGGTGATGCTTAAATTTTTAAAAATTCATTATAATACAATATAAAATGTTATTAATCACCCTCATTTCGAACTTACTTATCCAATAAATTTTGCCCCATCTTCTGAAGTAGTTTTGCAAGTCTTTCCTGTGTTTGTGATTAAAAAAATAGTAACAATACGGTGACTGCTGCTATTGCTGCCGACTGCCATCTACTAGAAAATCAAGCTTATTAAAACATTACAATCCACCAGGGATTTAGCTCAGTAGTGCCATGCTTGCCTCACAAGTTCAAGGTCCTGAGTTCGATCCCCAGTACAAAAAAAAAAAAATTATAATCCTCATCAACTTTATTCACTGGATCTGGCACCATGTGACTTCTGGTCCTACCAAAATCTAAATGACCATGAGGGGGAAATGTTTTGAATCAAATCAGGACATTGAGACAGCACAACAGTGCAAGTAAGCACTCAGGAAAAAGAAATTCCAGAGCTGCTTCGGAAAGGGAAGGAGCTATGGGATAAGTTTTCGTGTATTCTGAGGTGGATTAATGGCAATGTGAGGCACCACTGAAATCCCCTGCCCAGCAATGTATCTTTCACTGAAATTAAAAAACAAACGTATACCACGTCTTTCAGTTATACCTAGTATCAATCTTCTCAAGATGATGTTTTGGTTTTCTGATTTTTTTATCTTTATGATTTTTCACATTTTTCAGTTCTTTTTTCTTCTGTTAACTATACTCTTCCAACTGAATGTGGATTTAATTTGGTTTTCTTTTTAAAGTCACTCAGTGCCATCAATTTCTCTTGAGTTTTATCTGCATTTCACATTTTTTATATGTTGTTTTCATTTTCATTTGGTTCAAAATAATTTCTACTTTTTCTTTTGATTTCTTTGACCCATGAGTTATGCAGAAGTATCTTATTTAGTTCCCAAATATTTGGAGATTTCCTAGAAAGCTTTCTGTTATTTATTTCTAAATTAATTCCATGTGGCTACAGCATATATTTCATATGACTTGAAATCTTCTAAAATTAGTTAAGATTTCTTTTATAGGCCAAGATATGGCCTAACCATGTGCACTTAAAAAGAATGTGAGTGGGCTGGGAATTTAGCTCAGCAGCACTGTTCCTAACTTGTAAGCGCAAGGTCCTGAGTTTGATCCGTGGTACCCCACCCCCCAAAATAACCAGAATGTGTTGTTCTGTTGTTGGCAGATGAAGCTAGTTGACAGCAGTGCCCACATCTACTAACTCTACTCTCTTCCTTATTTATGCTGTAAATTACTCCAGAATGTGAAACTTCTGACCAAAATTGCAGACTTGTCTATTTTTTTTGTTTTATTATTTCAGCTTCATGTTATTAAGTAAATAAAGAATTGTGATGTCCTCTTGACAACCTGGCCACTAATCATTAGGAGATGACCCTCTTTATTTTATAGTCTTTGTCTAATATTAGTATAGTGACTCTACTTTATTAATATTAGTATTAACAGAGCATATGCTTTTTATTAGTATTAATAGAGACCATTCATTTACTACTAATCAACTTGTCTTTACATTTAAAATGTTTTTTTTTTGGTACCTGGGATTGAACTTGGGACCTTGCACTTGCAAGGCAGGCAGGCAGGCAGGCAGTGGAACCGTTGAGCTAAATACCCGGCCCAAAATGGGTTTCTTATAGGCAGCATTTAGTTGGGTCAGCCAATCAGACAAGTTCTGCACTATAAATAAGGTATTTATTATCTCCTTTGTTGTCATATTAACTACATCTTTTTCTTTTATTGGCTGTTTTAGGTTTTACAAATAAACACCTTTAAAAACTTTACTCCTTTTCAATATTTATACTTTATTTTTTCATATAGATGATCAGCATGTCTGCTACTCTACTACAAAAAGTGATGACAGAGAACACCTGATACCCTCCTGTCTTATGTGTCCATTTTAAACAGGTATCCTTATTGCATTTTTGACTCTTTATCAAGAATGAACAGTTTTATCAAATGATGTTGGAATATATGTTGATATATAATTTGAATTATTTTTTTAAATGATTAATGGCTAAGAATTTTTCTGGTATTAATGTGGTTCTGAGTTGCTCATATTAATCATCTGGATCTCTGGTTGGATATGTTCTTTTTAAAAAATGTGTGGCTATGAACTATGAGCTAAAATCCTATTTATATGTGCGTGTTTGTGTGTGTGTGCGTGTGTGTATGAACACATAAATTTCTGAGATAGGCCAGGCACAGTGGCCCCCTCCAGTAATCCCAGCAGCTTGGAAGGCTGTAGTGAGAGGCCCAAAAGTTTGAGGCCCACTTGGGCAACCTAGTGAAACTATCTCAAAGTTTTAAAAAAGAAAAATTTTTTTTTCTGAAATAGAGGTGTGTGTGACTTTATTTTGTGCTAACAGTTCCTTTTCATAAATGACCTTTCAAATAGGTACCATCCAGTCTATTAGTATAATTTTGAGAGCCATAAGCATGAAGGAATAGACTAACCAAGAAGGCCGAATTATGGTTTGTGTTTCATTAGTTCCATTAGTTCCATGTCATCAGGAGTAACTAAATAGAGCATTCTTTGAATATATATATCTATACTTTTTTTTTTTTTTTTTTGAGATAGGGTCTAGCTATGTAGTTCAGGCTGGCCTTTAATTCACTGAATAGCCAGACTGGCCTCAAACTCATGGCAATCCTCCTGTCTCAGCCTCCTGAGTGCTGAGATTATAGTGATATGCCACCATGCTCAGCTGTCTCTGTCTACATTTAAAAATCCAAACAAAAAAATTCTGAGTCATATAATTTAGCAAACAGGGAAGATATAAAGATAGTATATTTATTAGCTGACTATATTAGCATCACTCACTTTAAAATTCTCATAGTTAATCCAGAAGATAATAAATTATAGCTACATATTAAAAAACATATTAACTATTATAAAGTACAGTTGAAACATTCCTTCTAATTGATTCATTTCCTTAATTTCTCTTACAGGTCAAGCACTATACTAGGTGCAGAGGGGACACAATGGTAAACAAGTTCTTCTCTCAGTAAACACAAATTAGTGCAGTGCTGACAAACTTTGTTGGTAAAGGGCCAGATAGTAACTTCATAGGCTTTGGAGCCACACAGTCTCTGCTGTCAATGTTCCACTTCATTACAAAGCAAAAAGGGTCAGAGACAAGTACTATATACCAAATGAGCATGGCTGTGAGAGAGAAATCTATTTACAAAACACAGGTGGGCTGGATATGTCCCATGGGCCACAATCTGCCAACCTGTTCTCTAATGGAAAATTATAAACTCAACAGCAATTTCACTTTACATGGCAAATGCAAGGAGAGTTGTAAGAAAGCAAAGCAAAGTGTGCTTCAAGAACATGAACCCAGATAATCAACTGCAGCTTCCAGGATGAGGCCAGCATCCACCACAGACCTTACTGTCTCAAAATTAAAAACATGCTGCTATTACAAAATGACTCAAAACCTCATTCAGAAAATGTTAAACACTTGTGACTAGAAAATAATCGCTCTTTTATATAGTAATCTTCACACTATTCATCAAAAATTATTCTACAACACACCTAAAAGCTTACCTTGAGTGACTGTTTTGAGAACAATTAAAGTTGATAAAAATCGCAATGGCAAATGCGAACTCTTAAAAAAAGCAGCTATTTTTGGTTTATTCTCCACAGAATGCTCTGAAGAATTATCCTGAACTCCTTTAATTATCACGCCTTTAAATATGTCTTCACCTAATCGCCGCAATGTTGATGTCATAGTTGAATGCTGTTAAAAATAAGAACAATCCTAGTCTATTTTTATGCATGTTCATAAAATACCTATTTTAAATACCACAATCAAATATATGAACTAAAAGTGCATTTTTTCTTAAGCAAAATGATAAAATGGAACTGCAAATATGCAAGGTAAAGTATGACTGTATTTTCTAAAACAGTAAGAACCACAGATGGATTGCACTGCATTTCCAGTATAGAGGTGGTCACCCACGCTCAGCTGACCACTGGCAGGCAGTGGTGTCTGGCTCATCAAGCAGCCAGCAGAGCCTCCTGCTTCTGCTTACTGACTACCAGTGTCTCTAGTAATTTGGTACACTTAACAAACTCAAAAGAATAAAATATTAGATTATAATGTCAGAGGATTCCTATGCAGAATAAACTGAAATAAGAAAGCAGGTAAAGGGCCGGGAATTTAGCTCAGTGGTTTTGCCACCTGCCTTGCAAGTGGCAAAGACCCGAGTTCGATCCCTGGTACCAAAAAAAATAAAAGCAAGAAAAGAAAGTAGGTAAAACAAATAATGGCATAGAATGACCTATAAAATAACAGAGGATCTAGAGGTTTTCCACACTTCTGTTGAAAGGGAAGCATTTCAAACTGCAGTTTGAGAGATAAGTGAAAGTGTTCTTTGTTGTGACCCAATTCTTCAGTTCTCGTTACTGAGTGTTTTGGACTTGTGATAAAATGTTCTCAACACAGCATTGGTCCTGTGATGTGGACAACAAGCTCTAACTCCTAAATTTCTACAGGTACACTGAGATTCGGAGCATATCAAAGGCCAACGAATGGGTGAGGAAAGGCATGAGTAGGGCACCTTAAGTTAAACACATCATCAACAGGGTTAGTATTAGGCAAGAGTAAATGGTAATTGAAAAATTATTTCTAATGCTTCCTACTACTTTTATAGTAACAATATTTTTAATTTAAAAAATATGTATATGGATACTACTTCTCTTTAATTGAAGAGAAAAAATTCCACAAAAATTATATTCTTATTTTTGATGAGACTTCACCAAAGGATATAGACATCAACCTAGACTCAAAATGTCTAGTTTTCAATCTAAAACTACTCACCTTACCAACAATCAGATTTCAAACTAAATTTAAAAAGACAATCAGTAGTTGCCAGTATTAATATGACAAAATATGAGAATTATGTAAGAAAAAATTTAAAACCCCTAATAAAATGAGCAATCATAAACACTTTAGAAAATCTCTCATAGAAACGGAAGAAGTCTTAGCAAATAAAACAGAAGAATCAAATGGAAAGTTTAGTACTGGAAATACCATTAACAAAGGAGATAACTGCACTGGCTCAATAGCAGAATGGAAGAGAGAAAAGAATCCACTAACTGGAAATAAAATAGCCAGTATGAACAATCAAGAGAAACCGGGAACCAACAGCAGCAGCAACAAACAGAACTGAAAGGAACCAACAGACTTCAATATCTAACACGCATATCACTAAAGTCCCCAAAGGAAGGAAAATCAGGTAGAAAATTCCAAGGGATCTTTACAAAACTTTACCAACTATTACAGGAAAGGTCCCAGGATACAACATTTTTAAAAAATCAATTCTATTTCCAAATATTATCAGTGAAAATGTGCATATAAAAATGTTAAGACAGAATCAATTAAAATCACATAAAAATTAAACAGCTTAAAAGTTTTTCTAAATGCATAGGAATTCATGCAGAAAACTATACAACAATGGTGAAAGAAATTAAAGTTTTAAAAGAAGGGACATTTTGTGCTGATGAACTAGAAGACTCAACAAAGATTCCAATTCTTCTCAAATGAATATTATAGGTTTAAGGTGATGCTAATCAAAATCCCAGTGATGTATAGAAAAGATTATTCTCAAATACAAGAGAACATATTCAAAGGAGAAAGGTGCACATACACAGTGTTTGTGTGTGTGTGTGTGTGTGTGTGTGTGTGTGTGTGTGTGTATAAGCTGACACTAAGTGCAGCATTAATAGCAGCTCAATTCCTCACTCCCTTACCTGTGCCCCTGCATCCAGCTGCCTGAGGGACCAGTAGATGAACCTGATGAGAGGCTCATGGAGTCTGGCACTCACCAGTGGCATCCACTGTAGCTGCTCCGTCATCACAGGCAAGAGCTGTATATAAATGGTGGGAAACCTTAAAGCAAGGCAAGGCACTTTCAGATGTCTGAAACCCATTCCCACAATGTTCTAAAGAGTAACTACAAAGACAAACAGGCATTCTCTAACAAAACACCTCCCCTAAACCATATGCAACACAATGTGGCAATCTCAATCTGAAAGTTTCCATATGTGTTTTCTTCTATCCAGTGACAGCACATCAAGAACTGAGATCAACCTACACAGAGGCTCTCTGAAGCTTCAAGGGTCAAATAAATAATCATTAAAAATAACAACCTAGCCAGAGATTTAGCTCAGAGGTTCCTCCACCTGCCTCACAAGCACAAGGTCCCAAGTTCAATCCCCAGTACAAAAAAGACAACCTAGATTTATATTTATACCATGGCATGCATGCTCTGGGATGAAAAAAGTAGGTGACAACAGAGCAAGTATAATAAAGATCCCAACTTATATAAATATGTTGCTGTCAATTTGTAATTTTTAAAAAATTTGAAGATGTTAAGGAATTTTGCTTTCTTTAATAGCCAAAGGACCCTAAGCAATGGTGCACAGGTGCTTTAGAGCCCAGATGCTGCACTCGGGTCATTGCAGCACAGGTGGGGCCTCAATCTTACATATGCTAGGGACAGAATTCCGCTAGCAGCCCAAGCCAGTGTGTGGGCCCTCCACCAGCCTCCACAGAGGAGCATGGGTCTGAGGACACTGGGTCTCTGGCCAGCTGAAACCCAAGTCAGACTTCTGCCCTGTGAGCAACACATAATCAGCATCCTGTGCAAATACTCTGGCTGTGTCTTCTATGGCACCTGTGGTGACTGTGTCTGATTTCTTTTGACTCCCTCTGGTTTAGAGACTGGTGTGATTACCAGGCCCACTCAAAAAATCCTGGACAATCTCCCTGCTCTAAGGTTAGCAACTTTAATTCCTTTTGTCCTGGAACACAACACTGACAGGTTCTCAGGATAAGGACATTATTCTATCTGCTACAAAAGGAATTAAAAGAAATAATTTATTACAGATTAAGGATGAGAAATGGGAATAATATATTCAAATAAAACACTAGCCTATATTTAATAACCATGAAATCATTCCTAAAAATGTGTAAAAACCACAAAAAGCTTTTTTTTGTTTTGTTTTGTTTTTTTGAAACAGGGTCTCACGTATAGTTGAGACTGACCTGGAACTCACTATGTAGCCCAGGCTGGTCTCAAACTCACAGTGATCCTCCTGCCTCAGCCTCCCGAGTGCTGGGATTACAGGTATGCGCCACCACTCCCGGCCCCCCAAAAAGCTTTAATGTATTTTCTTCAAAGTTTTTCTGTATTGTCTGTGGACTGCAACTGCCAATTTCTAAAGACCTTTTATATTAACCAGAAATCATGAAGAGCAAAATTCACACTAATACCTATTAATTATTTCAATTTGATAAAGAGTGAGAAGTACCTTAAAAATAGACTTTTATCCTTTCATGCTAAAAGACTGTTTCATATCCTAAAATTATGTATAGGAGGAATTGTTCACAACTCTACATATTTTTAACTAATGTATATTTCATCTTTTTTGGAGTATGCTGTACCTTAGCTCTGGTTTTAAAAAGACAAATTACTACCCTGTATACCTAAAATGTACCAATAAACTCAATAAAAGAAAAAAAAAGATAAATTACTACCGTCTTAAGAAAAATGTAAGCATGAATTAATAAGGTCCAAAACCAATCTTTTTAGAACTGACTGCTGGTATGGCCAACTTTCTACCCAAAAATCTTTTATTACAAATTCTGCCAGAGGTTTCCCTTTAATCTTCAAGTGTCCTGAATCATACATTTCAATTTTATTTTATTTTATTTTTTTTTGGTACCGGGGATTGAACTCAGGTCCTTGCGCTTGCAAAGCTGGCAGCGGAACCACTGAGCTAAATAAATCTCTGCCCCCATACATTTCAAATGTAAAAACAAACCTTTATACACTTCTCCTGAATATCACTTCTCTGAGAAGGAGATCTGAGTAGTAGCTTTTCACCATCTACACCAGATTCTTCAGGTTTCACTTTGCTAAGATGGTGGTCTGAAATCCAGTCCATGAAGACAGTTAAAAGTTCATATACCTGTTCGTTAAGTGGTACCTATGTGTCAAAAATTAAATCAAACATTAACTTCAATTTACTTCATAAAAGTTCAAACGCAAGGCTTAAAATTTGGTAATTGATTACAGAGTAATTTATCTAGAGGGCTCTTAGCGCATTTCACTTATGTGTAAGGACAGAGACTCCCCAAATATGCAAAAGAAATTCCAAATCATGTGCCCCCAGTTAATGTTAGAAACATTCAATGCTGGCTGAGAAAAGGCAGAAAACTTATCATAGTAAGTAGAAAATTGAAAAAACTTCATATTAGTAAAATAAAAAATTTTTTAAGAAGTTCTTTATACAAAATTGGTAAGACAGAAAAGTAAAACTGGCTATCACATCTAAAAGATTGTAACAAATTTTAATGTTTCCAAGGCTAAAGAATTTCCACTCTCAGATTTCATGCTTTTTCCTTCCTCAAAGTAGTTATTTTCTTGTTTTTACAGTAAATGAAAATCCTTTTCTGGAAATCCTATTCTCTGAGAGCCTACAAAACTAGGAGGGAAGATAAATGTGCTGAGAATATTCCCTTGTAAAAATCTATTACACAAAATGGAGTCATTCTTGTCACACCACATCACAATGGAGTTGAGGTCCAGAGAAGAAGGGGGAACAGAGTCACAAGTACTTGCTCCAGGAACTATTTCTCAGAACCAGCCCAACAAAACCGCCTGCCCTATCTTATTTCCACTCAGCAATGGATAGAACTACCCACTGCACCCTCCACCAGCTTCACACAGCAGTTGCCACCACCTGTCAGCGCTCACAGTGCCAGTGGGTTTTCATTCAAAAAAAAGCATTCACAGATACCTATAAGACTCCCAAACTCGCCTTTACCCTCTGGTCACAGTGAGAACCACTTAGCCTGTGTGTCTTAGATTGCAATCCTACTCTTTGTTCCCAAATAGTGAGGTCCTATATTGGAGATGCAGCTCTAGACTTTTGTTTGACTCCTTTGAAGCACACTGTTGATCAAGTTAATTAAATGTTTTCCATATTTTACCCTAAGTTGGAAATGATGCTAGATTTAATTACTCTTTTTAAGCTATGCAAAAACAGAGAAATATAAAAGCAAATTATAAAAATGCCACAAAGAAAAATCACAAAAACAGAATGAGATGATTGAAAACAGGGCAACAGTTAAACCATTATTCTAACAAAAATAATCTGAAACCTCAATTTTTTTCAAATAGAAAAAAAAGAAACTGCTTTATATAAAACTTCAATTACCTTGACTACCTGAGTATAAAATCTCCACACCTTCCATTTATTTTTTTACATAGAGAACTAGAGCTGGACATGGTAGCACATGACTATAATCCCAGCTACATGGGATGCTGAGACAGGAGGATCACAAGTTCAAGGCAAGCCATGGCAACTTAGCAAGACCCTGTCTCAAAAAATAAAAAAGGGCTAGGGTGTTGCTCACATATGTAAGTCACTACCCAATACTACAAGGTTCACTACCTAATACCACAAGGGGAAAAAAAAGGACTAGAAAGTTTATTATCAAAGTGGTTAACACCCACAGTGAGTTACTACCACATATTCATTAAGAAGGATTAAAATAAAAATATTAAAACAATGAATATTGGCAAGGCTGTGGAGCAACCAGAACTTTCATACACTGCTAAATTTATCAAATGGTTTGGATATGAACTGACATTTTCTTACAAATATACTTCTATCTTATCACCAAGAAATTCTAGTCCTAGAATATCCAAGAAGAATGAAAACATGTGCCCAAAAATCTTGTATTTATAGCAGCTTTATTCATGGTAGACAAAAAAAGACTTGAACAAGTGCCTACCAACAAAACAAATGACAGATAAGCTGTGATACATTCATACAATGGGATACTGAGTAACACAAAGGAACAAATGACTGACAAACCCAGTGTTATGCTGACAAAAGGAAACCTTGCCCAAATGAGTGCACACTGTACAATCCCACTGACTATAGCTATGCAAAAAGTGAAGCTAATTCAGGGAAAAAGATCAACAGCTGTTCCACAGGGAGGACCAGGAAAGGGCACAGAAGAACCTGCTGGGGTGATGAGAACACTTGGCTGAATGTCACACAAGTTTATCAACACTGATCAAATACTGATTCAAGGATCTATGTGTTATGTTACTGAGTGTAATTTAAATTTCAAGTTTTAAAATTCTCAGGAAGAAATACCAGGGGCTACTTCAGGGACAGATTGCAGTCTTGATCAAAAAATAACAACAAACACTTGTGGAATCTGAAACACATCTGGTAACAAAGCTGCTACCAACTGTAAGGAATCTGCAAGTGTCACCATGCCTGAAACACGGCTGAAATACCTTGGTGAATTTTAAATTCTAGAGCTATTTCTCCGTAAAAGAATTATTATGGTGATCCCTTTCATACCAAAAAAAAAAAAAGTTCACCAAATGAAAGAACAAGAGACAATTTCCTGGCGGTCCACTGGAAAAATCTTCAGTTGTGTCATACCTTAGAAGATTTTGAAGCTGGTGCCTTTTCTTGCTTTAAGCTTTTCATTTCATGAGCAACATGGGAACTTCCTTTCAATCTCTGTATTGTCATAAATTCATACTTCCTCTGCAGTGGACCACATCCATGAATTAAAGAACAACGATATGAAAAGTAAGCAAATCCAAAGGCAGTCACATTAAAATGCACACAGAGAAGAACAGGCAACATACCTGTAAGTTATCTAAGCGGGCTTGAACTCTTTTAGCTTGAATCTCCATCTTCCTGTTTTCTTCACTTACTTCATTTAACTAAGGAAGGAAAAGTTAACAATTTCAATATAAAACTTAAACTGATCACATTGAGGACTTCTCCATCTACTGCCTAATCCAGTCTACTTAACTACTCAACTACAAAACACAGGTGGCATTCAGGATTCAAATAGGTCACAGCTAACAATCACCACGTTCTTTAGGCTTCATTATCTCAGAAGGTCCATTTGCCTGCTCCTGAATGTAACCCTACTCCTGCTAATTACTCTGGGTGTTCACTGGAACGCCATCCCTCTGATGGGCCCTGAACATTAATCCTGTCTCCTCAGCTTGGCAAGTCTTAACATGCAATGCGTTTACATTGTTGTTGTTGTCATTATTATTATTATTATGGTGTATTTACATCCAGTGCTATCATAAATTACTACACAAGTCAGTCACAGAAACAACAAACCTTTCAATAAGCCATTCTTAAGTTTGCACCATTCATCAAATCAGAAGCTGGCAAGTTTTTGAAGCTGGAACACAGCCACACATCATTGCTATACTCTAAGGCAGAGATCAGCCCAACAAATAAAGGAACCCTTCTTGAAGGTGGTACTAGACTGAGATGGTGATGGGAACAGTTATCCCTCCAGGGATAAAGCAGGCTTCCTAAGAGACAATCTCTGAGGGCCACATGTGGGTCAGAAACATTCAGGGAGGCTAAATCAAAGCAAGGGAGGAGACGGAGCCTCAGCACCTCTGTCAGGGAAGAGGGCTGCAACAAGTATCCCCCAGGAATTGAAGAAGAACAAAGGAAGCAGAGCTAGCCAGGGAACTGTGGGTCAAGTTCTGTAAGACTAACTGCATTAAAAAACTGTCAGGTTTTCAGTCTCATGCTTTTAAAAAGTGACTTAATTTATGCCCAGGTATCTTCTGCCCATAATTAAATACACATGCAATCATTCTCCCATCTCTCACAACTATTATTCCTTCATTTTTCACAAAGAAAGATGAAAAAAAGACATAACAACAAAAAAGCCTGTCATCCCAGCACTCTGGGAAGCAGAGGCAGGAGGATTGTGAGTTCAAGGTCAGCCTGTAACATAGCAAGAATTTATCTCAAAACAACAAAATATCCTCTTCTTTTGGGGTACTGGGGACAAAACTCGGGTCCTTGTGCTTGTGAAGCAACCACGAGAACCACTGAGGTAAATCCCCAGCCCCAAAATATCTTCTTATATAATTTTAGTACTAGGTATTAAGTGACACTACTTATATAAATAAATTATCCTAGCACAATATGACACAGGTCTATACTCCTGAAACTATGCTAGAGTAATGTGAAGCTTAGAGCCTGGTTGTGTCCAGCATAAAGCAGGCACAGGGAAAAATAGATGAAAGTTAAACATGTACAGTGTTTAACAGCAGTTATAGTAATAAATATTAAAGACAGAAATCAGAGGGGTGAAGGGAGGGCAGGGACAAGGAGAAAAAATGAGAACCAAGACCTGTCATGTAAAGGTACAAGATCCCAATAATGAATGTAACTGTACTGTATATCTAAAATGTACCAATAAACTCAATAAGAAAAAAAAGTAATCAGTGCTATACATTTCTTAGTTTTAAGGTTTTTCTTTTGCTTCTTGTTATCTATAATGCTATAGTTTTGTTACCTATAATGTTACAGTTTTTGTACTAAAGTAGGGTTTACCTGTTTTTTTAAATTATCATTCAATTCTTTCAGTGCATCAAAAGAAGACCTCAGTCTCTTGCTTTCTTTATTTCTCTCCTTAAGAACTTCAGTTAACTGCTCAACTTCTGCATTGTGTTGCTAGGAAGAAAAAAAAAGGTCTATAGATTTTAAAATTAGGCAAGGTTCTCATCACTAATATTATTGAATGTTAAGTTAAAAAGTAGAACACCTTCAACCACAAAAACTCTAATCAATGTATTTAAATACAGGTGACTAATGTGGCAAATAATTTACAGAAATTGTGTAATCAACCACAGTAACAACAAAACATCAAAAGCATTTAGGAAAAAAGCTCAGGCATATTACCATACAAATTAGGTCTACTTTTCAATTCAGCTCAGAAAAATCCACCCGAACAGCATCACTAAAATATCTTCTACTTTACATCATGGAAAAATAAAACAACAAAACATTTCTGATCCTTTTCAAGACTCTACTTACAGCTTTAAAAATTAAAACCTAAGTTTCACATCACCCTCAAAGATATAAAAAATAGTCCACAGAACTAATTCTTAATCTCATAAAGTAGCTAAAAGTCTGATGCCAGCTTTACATCTCAAAAAACATTAAATACATATAAGAATTTCTCTGAGCCCCAAACAATTCCACTCTCCAACAGGTTTCAGAAATGATGCAAACCAACTTATCCCCTAACTATTTAAATGGGACAGCATATCAGATTTAAGATGTGAATACTTACAATTCAAGAATAAGATAGGGCCAGGGATTTAGCTCAGTGGTGCCACTGCCTGCCTCGCAAGTACAGGTCCCAAGTTTAGTCCCCGATACAAAAAAAAAGGATGGCAAGGAGAGATCTGATAATCTATGCATTCTTTCCTTAGTCCTGTAAAAAAATCCAATCTGAAAATTATAGCTTCGTGTGATTTTATTATTGTATTAAATGGTTCGATAACAACGTAGAATACAGCCACAAATACAGGTATTTTTAGAATTATTTTATTTATATGTGTGTGTGTGTGTGTGTGTGTGTGTATGTGTGTGTGTGTGTGTGTGTATGTATATATATATATTTTTTTTTGGTACCGAACTCGGGACCTTGTGCTTGTGAGGCAGGCGGTGGCACCACTGAGCTAAATCCCCGGACCTAGAACTAGTTTAATATTCCTATTGTCTAATCTTTCTACATCTAAAGATACTAAGGCTTACAATATGAGTTCTACTCCCAGCAAGGCAGGATAAACCCACTCCCCTCTACCTTGACCAAAAACCTTGGACAAAGCCCAACAGCAATCACTTGATGCCTGGAAAAGCAAACAAGAATAGAGAATTGCAGAAAGGAGTAAAATCTGGAGAAGCAATCCTTAGGGGTGACCTTTCTCATGTTTTTGTTTTTCCTTTTCCAGGATGGAGAAGTAGAGGGAGAAGCAAAGTGAAATCTTTCCTAAGCACTGGGAGATATAGCCAGTCTTCTTTACAGGAGAACTGGACAAGGGCCCTGAGAGCCCAAGGGTGGGGAATCTGGGAGAAGGGACTCAGAAAGAGTCCCCCTCAGCCCCCTGCCACCTTGGTGGTGGGAAGCTACCCAAATGCCAGAAGGAGGCTGGAGAACCCAAGAGTCTCAGGCTGACCCTGAGAGACTGGTTTGTAGATCAACCCGGAAGGCACTGCAGCCCACCTGGAGATGACCCCACTGCCACAGAGGGGCAGAGATGAGGACTTCCACCTAGAATGGCTGGATAAATGGCTTAAAAAAACAGTAACACTCTCCAGAGACATGAAATATATACAAATGACATTCAAAAGTATTCAAACAGAATTCTAAAATTGCTGCAGAAACAAAACACAACAAAATGTCAAGAAAAAAGACAATCAATAGACACCAATCTGAGAAGACCCAGATGCTAAGTTTCTACCTCTGTTCCACGAAGTCAATTCAGCGTGAAACCAAATATAAATACACAAATTCTTAGGAGAAAAACAAAACAAAAACTTTAAAGAATATAATTTAAAATTTTAGAACTTTATCAGAAATAAAAAACCCACTAAATGGGCTCAATAGCTACAAGAACTTGAAAAGAAACAGTGAACTTAAAGAGAGATCAATAAAATTATCTAATCAGAAGAGAAAGATGAGAAAACAGGAACAGAACCTCAGAAATCTTTGGGGTAACAGCAAAAGTCACTGGAGACCCGGAAGAAGAGAAAGCAATTAGAACAGAAAAAATATTGAAAGAAATGTTGGCTGAAAATTCCACAAATTTGGCAAATTAAATTAATAAATTCAAGCATCACAATAGCCCACAAATCAAACTCAAAGTACACCAAGATAGGTCATCAGTGAGCAGCTGCTAAAAGCCACAGTTAAAGATCACAAAATGATCCAACCACAGAACATCCTGGAAGAGGTAGATCACAGGGATAGACATAAGTCAGGAGCTGCCGAGGGCTACTGACATGGATGACTACAGAGGAGCAAGGGAAAACATCCAGGGTGCTGCAGCCATTCCAGCCCAAGTATGGTGGTGACACACATGGTGAACCTTTCTGCATATCCAAAATGTACAGAAATAGGGCTGGGGATTTAGCTCAGAGGTGTTGCTGCCTGCCTCGCAAGCACAAGATCCTGAGTTCAATCCCTGGTATCTACCCCCCCCAAAAAAAGTACAGAAATATACAGCAAACAAAATGACTTTCACCCTATTTGAGTTCCAAATACTGTACCATATCTTTTGAAATGAATCACAGAAGTATACAATACTACCTACATAACATCCTTGCCAAAGTATTTCAATTGAGTATCAATGTCAGGATACAATCAGGTCAACCCAGTGTATGACCTGCTTTCCAAAACTGCAGAGTTGGACTCTTCAGAGAAAAGCCCAAGAACAAAAACGGTGAGGATGCAAAAGAAACCCAAAGATTCAACCACCAGATACACATGTATTTTGTATAATTCCTTGATCAGAAAATAAAGCAAAACAAAAAAGCAACAGAAGACACCATGCAGGCCACATGGGGCAGGGAATGTGGCTGTGTCTAGAGCACCAGGGCTTTGGGAACATCTCTGCTCCAAGACGACAAAGCTGCCCTAATGTTCTCAAATGCTGCAGTACAGCTGGTGTGTGCAGGACTGCAAGAGGTAAGGAGAAATGAGAACTGGTGAAATCTCAGAAAAAAAATCAAAGGCTATAGTTACCTCCTTTATAATCTGAAATCTTGTCAGAACCTCTTCCTCAACACCTTTGATTTTACTCAAGGCATCTTCATGTCTGAAAAGCAGTTGTTCTCTCTCGGCTAAAAAGCGTTCTCGCCTCTGGAGCTCCTCAGCAAAGTTCCGTTGTGCCGCACTCTCACACTGCATCAAAATGCCAGGTGTAAATGCATTAAGAACACACACGCATGCTGTACACCACATTTTACTTGACAGACACTGAAGTCACCAAAGGGTTTTCAGAAACATGTTTCTGCTATCTAAAGAAAGCCGCATTACAGTAGTGTTAGACTAGTGCAGCAAACAGCTCCACAGAAACGTGTCTGTGGAAGGATGTGGTACTGAGAGTCATCAGAATTTGGGAGCTGTGTGTCCATAGGCATTAGCACTGCTCAGAATAAGCTCCTGACCAACTCAAATCCCTTGTTCCACTTCAAATGCAGGTCCAGCACTTGCCTATACCCACCCTTTCCTTAGCCCTGCTGTCTTTCTATCGCCTGAATTAAGGCACTGACCACCTTTTCTGCCCTGTAACAACATAGAGAAACACTCAGAGAAAGGTCACATGCCATGAAACTTGGGATCCTGAGATTCACTCTCAATCTTCGACCAAGTTCTCAATGCAGGCCTAAAATCCTCAATATTTCCAATAAACTCTGTCTCCCCCATTCTCCAGAGAATGTGTATAGCCACAAAATGCAGCATAGTATCTATTATTCAGCAGGTACTAGCACATGATCTAACACAAATGAACCTTGAAAGTACCATGCTAAGTGAAAAAGGCCAATACTAGCAGCCAAATAATATAGGATTCCATTCGCATGAAAATTCCAGGATGGACCAATCTGCTAGGCTGAGAGGAGTCAGAGATAATGAGGAATGACCGTTAATGGGAGAGGGCATCTCAGGGATGATGACATACTCAAAAATCGGCTGTGAGAGTAGCACAACCCTGTGAATATATTTAAAATAATTTAATTTACACTAAAAACTAATGAGTCACAATTTTAAAAGCAAAGAATGAATCATCTCTTCCTCCATTTTTCAATCTCAACAAAATTACTACCATTTACCTAACTGGCCCCCAAAAAACCTATTCTGCCGGAGTGAACCCTGACCACCCCACCCGATGCAGAGCCACAGCCCCAGTCCCAGTGCTCCCTTCTCCTGATCTGCCAGACCCAGCCCCTTTTTGAATGGAAACCTGGCCCTACCAAGCTCCCTCGTCCCACCCTAAGCTCCAGACAGACCTGTACGCAGAGTACAAGGCTGGATGGTACACATTCCCCCAAGCCCAGTGCTCCAGGCTCGGTCACAGCAACTTTATGCTGCCATGTGCTCTGGCCTCAATGCGGTGCCACACCAGACCCAAAAACAGTTGCAAATGATGTGAACTGAGACCTCTAAATCGGCTAGCCCAAATAAACCTTTCCTTTTCTTTCACTGTTTTAGCGGGAGGTGTGGGTGAGAGATGAAGGTCTTCCTATGTTGCCCATACTGGTCTTGAGCTCATGGACTCAGGTGATCTTCCTGCCTTTGCCTTCCAAGCAACTGGGACTAGAGGTGTGTGCCTGCCCAACCTTCCATTGCCAAACCTTCCATCTAAGTTGACTATCGCACAGGCATTTTTCCAAACAGAAACTGTTTATTACACTTTTTTCTCTAAACCCTGTGGATACCTGACAAATACACAAACTACATCCTTAAAAACAAGCCCGAAAGGTAACAGAAAAGTCAGTGTTCAGAGGTAAATTCTGGCAAGAGTTGGCAGAGGACTTCTTAAAATTAAGTATCTAAAACAATGATCCTAGAACACCTGCTTCAAACAGCACACTTTATCAGCACATTTGTTCCTGAAGGACGGGATGAGAATTAGTCTGAAATCAGACACACACCTATAAATAAAAACAACACTGCTTCTGTCTCTCACCCACTATGAAGTGAGTTTGTTTCCTTCTAATTTTGACCCAATTATGTAAATAATCAAAATAAAATAGCTTGTATTCAAATTTTGCAAATGCTTGGTGCTTGGAATACAAATACTTCTGAATTCTCACTAAAGGATTCTGAACACCATTCTTACCTGCAGCTTGAGGTGTATCTGAAATAACTCATCATATATCTGGTTTATCTGAGGTGGACGTAAACCCTGCTTGTTTGACACTCTGGAGTTTGGTGCGCTGGCGTGTCTCAGAGGGGAGTCTCTGGAATTGCTACCCCACTCAGCATGAGGTCCTGAGGCTACACCCGTTGCTAGGGCAACTGTAAAAATTTTAAATATTCTCAGAAACAGCAATCTTCAGGATGAGCTGCTATAACACCAATTACAGTATTGCTAGAAAGTCTTGAAAGAGAAAACTGCGACAACACTGGTAAAAAGGGAACATTTAGAAAATCTGGAATACACAGAAATTCACTTTGTGCAACTTTTCTGAAGATGTGAAATTATTTCAAACTTAAAGTGCATAAAACCATTTGTATATTAACTCCCCAGGCCTAGAAATGGAGTTACGTCAGAACCTTGAAACAAACCACTAATCGACTGCAGTGCTAATCACTGCTTTTCTCTCCAAATCTGTTTATATTTGAAAAGTCCTCATTTGTTTTTTCTTATATATCCGTAATTATATAATTTCATAACCTGTTTTTGTTTGATTTTTTGGTTTTTTGAGATAGGGTCTCACTATATAGTTCAGGTTGGCTTTGAACTCAACTGTACTGATAGTGCTACGCTGGGTCCACAGTGGTGACAAGTTTACTTCCAACAGCAGTGAAGAGTGAGTTCATCTTGGCTCACAGCTCTGTGTCCCAATTCACCTCTGCTCATATACAAGCTCACAACAGGGCTGGAGATTTAGCTCAGTGCTGCTGCTGCCTGCCTTACAAGTGAAAGGTCTTTAGTTTGATCCCTGGTTTTGCCAAAAAAAAAAAAAAAAAAGTTCACAATGCGCTAATAGTTTTAATTGCCATTAACCAAGTGGAAACTCCAGCTTTTGGGGGAGCGCTCTACTCCGAATCTCAGACAGAAGCTAAGAGTGCCGTAAATAAAAATACAAGTTTTTTTTTCTTTTGATATTTTGAGACAGGGTCTTGCTATGTGGTTCAGGCTAGCCTTGAACTATGTAGTCCAGGCTGGCCTCAAACTTGCTTTGATCCTCCTGCTTCAGCCTTCCTCCTGCTTCAGTCTCCCAAGTGCTGGGAATATAGGCATGAACCACCATGCCCAGGTACAAATTTTTTTTTAAAGTTTACAGGGTGGGTCCTGAGTTCAATCCCCAGGACCAAAAAAAAAAAAAAAAAAAAAAAGTTTGACTTCAGTTTAGCAAACACCTAAGTGTGTTCCACCTAAGTGGAAGAAGACATACTCAGTACTTGGCTTGCCTTCGTAGGTCCCTGCTTCACCAGCCACTGGCCTGAACATCTGTACTTTTTTGGTCAACTTTCAAATATATGCAACTTTTTCAGTAGTTTATCCTGTTTTCAGTGGGAAAATCTACCATGTAAAGCACAGGTGCAGGCTGAATTAATTTTCATTGTCCTCAAATGCTGAGATTACTGTGACAAAGAGGTGGAGTGACTGGGCACCAAATGTGAGCAGTATGTGCCAAGGAGACCCACAGTGCTGTGGACAGAACATGGCTGGGAACAGAGGGTGCCAGTGCTGACTGAAACCCTGGCAAAGCTGAAATGCAGCCAGGGACACAGAAAAGCTCTCGAGTTCAGTGCTAAGAAAAGCATCCCTTAAATACAGTGGACCCTCAAGTTATGACCAGCCAGATATACAAACAATTTGTGTTAATTGGGTTAATGCAAGATTTATCTGCCCATTATCCACAGTATGTACCCAGGTAAGCATCCAGATCTCAGCCATACTGACTTACAACCAACTTGAGTAACAAGCAGCCCTTGGAATCGATCAAGTTTGTAAGTCAAGGACCCACTGCAATTGGCAGTCTCAAAATGTTACGGTTATTCAACTACAATCACAGTCTCACTTTACATTAAACAAAAAAGAAAAGCAAAAGGATTCTAAGAGTATAATGGTAATTATTAACTCATTCTGATAAGTTTTGAGAACACATATATACTACTGGAAGATAACTAAAACAAGTTTCTTTTCTCCTTTACTTTATTTTTTTGTTTTTTTGGGTTTTTTTTTTGGGGGGGGTACTGGGGATCGAACTCGGGCCCTTGTGCTTGCAAGGCAGGCAGTGGAACCACTGAGCCAAATCCCCGGCCCTCTCCTTTACTTTAATAAAAATCACAGAAGCCACCCATAAACAGCCCACACACTGGGGCTGGCCAAGCGAGTGCCTGCCTGGTGCGTGCCAGCAACAAAGGAGAGAAAATCAGGCCCAGAAGCACAGGCACCCAAGGACCAGCATAACTACATGAGTAAGGTTTAAGCAAAAGCACTACTTAAATAAATATTTATTTTACCTTTTTCTATTTCTCTGAAAGGCTGCTTGGTCATTTTTGAGTTATTAATTCTATGATCATTCTCAATTAACTCTTCCTCTGTTTCCTGTTTCTTCAAATCATGAAAAGAATCCAGATCACCATCTAGGCTTTAAAAAAAAATTCTATCACAGAAATCTGGAGGCTTACTATAGCATTTGAAAAAGATAAAACTACTTTTCAAATGTTAACAGTATAACAAATGAGAAAAACTAAAAAGTAGACACTTTTAAAATGTTTAAAAAAAGGAAAATGTAAAAATTAAAGTCATTGATTCTGCTAATCAATTATAGTATCCTTTAACATTTTTCACACATTAAATTATTAATTTAAAACTACAAACATCTGAAAAATGCTCTACCAAACTTTCTTTGGATGCCCAGCAGTCAAACAGATATAACAGGTACTGTTGTCCACACTTTTAACTAAAGAAAGAATGAGGAACCTGAACCTTAAGGAAGTAAACAGGCAACAGAAGCAAGGAAAGAGGTCGCACAACTAATACACCAGGTGTTGCCTCACAGGAAATTATCTCACAGTTGAAATGTGTAGAGCAGCCCTGTTCAAAGAAATGCAATTTAAGTTATACAGGTAATTTAAAATTTTCTGGTAGCATATCAAAAACATATTAGAGGCAAAACTTTCAACAATGGGGCAACCCATTCGGGACCCCTCCTATCTCTCAGGAGCTATCTGTATTCCCCATTCTTATTTCCTATTCCTATTCCCTGTAGAAGACTGTAATATTGATTATGCCCAAATCAGGCTATAAAGAGTCAACCCCACAACTGGCTTGTTCATAGAAGTGAGTCGGGCTGAAGCCTACTGGTCGTCAGAGTAACTCAAATCCAAATTCTGCTTCCACAACTAAAACCCTCTGACTAGAAGGACAATGTTGTAATTACAGCCATATATTTTGTCTATTCTGTTCCTAATTCAAGAATACTCTGTCTTGTCCTTTACGTGCCTTGTTCACATTAATTTCCATAGAAACCACTTGATAGCGTGCCTTTAACCCAACTGATTGCCAATAAAAGTCATTGGTGCCACCTCCTGCCTTGTAAGCACAAGGTCCCAAGTTTGACTCCAGATACCAAAAAAAAAAGTTAGCACCTGGACCGTCTGGTGCCTTTGTTGGTTGCTCTGGCCTTGATCGTCCTGGCACCCCACTTTCTCTCCTAGTTTTTTCTTTTAGTTTTAGTTCTCAAGCCTGCATCACAGACTGGGCAGATGGGTACTGGAACCTAACTGCAGAGGTCATTGGTAATTCCCTATTCCTATTCCCTAATAAATTTTCCCTTTTTTTTTTTGTTTGTTTTTTTGAGACAGGATCTCACTATGTAGTTGAGACTGATCTGGAACTCACTATGTAGCCCAGGCTGGTCTCGAATTCACAGCAATCCTCCTGCCTCAGCTCCCGAGTGCTGGGATTACAGGCATGTGCCACCACGCCCGGCAATTTTCCTACTCTTTAAAAAATAAAAACTTTAACAATGTATTTAAACCTATACATCTGAAGTGATACTATTTCAATAGATAATATAAAAAATGATTATGAAGATATTTATGTTCTCTTGACCATGCTAAGTTTCTGCAATGCAGCACATACTTTACACTTACAACACCTCAATTCAGACCAGGCCCTTCTGGTACTCTGCAACTGCACAGGACGGGACCGGGTGGGACGGCAAGGCAAAGAAAAGCAAGGCCCTGTGTCCATGGTGCCAACAGCATACTTCAGACTAGATCACAGCCAAGGGTCAGAAAACTGTCCAATGACACAAAAACCTTCACGGCACTAAACTTCCAAATTGTACTTGGAGTTACACAAAAATCATTTATACAAATGGAAAAATGATAAAGCTAGCAGTTAAACACAGGAAAGTAACTTCCATAAATTCATAGGTATTACTTAAAAGCACTTTTACTTTCCCTACTACACAACCTCGCTCATGTCCGCATCTGGAATCTAGACTCTTTTGTGAATGCCAAATGAAACTATAATAACAATAATGGTAACAGTTCACATTTGAGGGCTTTACTATATACCTAGCACATTTCAAAGTGCTCTACATGAATTGATTCATTTAAGAGGCAATTTGTTTAAAAAATTCAAGCTCCAAAATACCATTATATTAACAGTATAGATATTGTATTTTAGGCGTAACTCTTTTTCTCTCCACAATTATGTCAATACTTCATTTTGTATGTGCAAACATCCATATGGTATTACATTACTTTAAAACATTTTCTTTTTGATACCTACAGCATTCCTTCTACCATACAGTGTCATAAAACAATATTCAATTTAAAACTGGATTTCATTCTAGCTTCCTTGTTTTTATACTCTTTACCTACAGTAAAGACAGCCCCATGTAGATAGCACTATACCACGTGTATTTTGTAGTGTCCATCTCCCCAACTACACAACATGCGGTCTTTATGCACTACTAGACGTACAACAGACACTATCCTGAACACCACTGCCCAAAAAACCTGGATGCAGATTTTCTCCCCTTTTTAAAAAAATAAAGCAGAGCCTTCGTTTGAGTTTTTGATGAATAACTACCAAAACTTTACATATGATTTCAACTATTTAGCAGGCTCCACACTGCTTCTATTTTCTCTAAAGAAAAAACAAATACAAAGCCAGGGATTTAGCTAAGTGGTTCCATTACCTGCCTCGAAAGTACAAGGACCCGAGTTTGATCCCAGTACCAAAAAAAAAAAAACAAACAAAAAAACAAAAAACGTTGTTTGCTTTAAATGTACCAATAAACTTAATGGGGAGGAGAGAAAAGAAAAGCAAAGAAAATATGTGATCCATTTGCCCTTTTCCCTTTCTCAGTTTCTTCAGACACCGAGGGAAGAGTAACAGGAAGAACTCAGGATACTTTACCAATTCACATTTAAGCGTTTGAACGAACTGCAAAAAGGCATCACACAATGCTTTCTTTCCTCATAATAACATCTTAAGGATGAACTGACTTTATCTCCAGAGCAGTAGATATCCAAATCATCTGCAAGGAAAAAGATGGCATACTGATGTAAGACACAGATATCTCAGTCTAGCCTCATGAAGGCCACTCCAAAACTGCTTTTTATCCACAGCTCTCCCTATAGCAAGCTTACAGAAAACTGGATCAAAACTTGCATTTACATAGCACTTTAATGATTACAAAATCCTTTTCCATTCTTACCTTGTGTGATCCTAGCAGCAACCTGTCAAGGAAAAGTAAGCAGCACTGATGCCTTTAGCCCTCATTCCAGCAGGTTAAGAACTTAAGAGACAGAGAATTGAAGTGACTGATAGTTAATATATATACATTATCACAATTATATACCTGAGCAACATATTACCACATTACAGCCCACTAATCCCATCGTATAATCTTTTCCAAATGTTTGATATATTCCTCCTCCACTGTAGTTACTAGCCTAGTAATTCAGAAAAGTCCATGACTAAAAATAGCAATAAGTTCTTTACCCAGTATAGTTAGTTTAAATTTTTCACACGTTCAAAGGTATATTGTAAGATCTAGGGCCTTACTTCCACTCCGAGGAGCTTGAACAGCCCACAGGGCCTCCAAGATGCTGGGCTATAGGCCCAGCGATTGCTCCAGGAGCTTGATGAGCATCGAGAATCACCCAGGAAGGAACACACTGGACTATTTTAGAAAACAGACCTTTATTAAATCTGGCCAGAAGGCACTCCCGGAGCCAAGTAGCTCAGAGAGGCATCAGCTCAGGGGTTTAGGCTATTTTTATAAGGGGATAGGCAGGGTGGGGGTCTATACTCAAAGCACGTAGGCAGGGGGCAAAGGTTAATGGTCTGCTAGTCTATGCTGGTGGTCAGCATCAGTCACGTGTTGATGGTTAACAGATGCTTACAGAATGTCCCAAGGTTTTCAAAACATTCCTTCCCCGGCAGAAAAGGAGTGAAACAATCCTATCTATTGAACTACTAAACGTTCACCTGTTAATTTACATTAATCACAGTTGAGGCTAGGAATTTAAGATTACAAAGTTATGCAGTCCCACGATATAAGTGAAAATACCCAAAAGATTTTTTAAAACCTTATTCAGTTTAATTCTTAGACATGGTATTTACCCCAAATATCATGGTTTCCAGTAGTCTACTACCAGATTGAAAGAACCCTAGTATCACAAGATATCTAGCACTAACTCTTAAGTCTAAGTAACGTCTACAAAAGTCTTAAATCTGTTTAAACAAAGGATACAAAATAGTCTACTGGTTTACCTGGATAGGTTAGAGATCTTCTCTTGCACTGAGCCTGATCAAAATTTGAAAAGTCGTACTAAAAAAAAAAAGACAAAATTTATATACTGAGAATGAGTTTACTGTCTTAAAATATTCCTAACAAATCACGATAATTACAAAGGTGAACCTGGCTAAGGTGACCGTGAACCCTAACGGCACCTGCGAGGCTACGCCTCCGAGCGCCCGGCAAAGCACACCGCTCCGGACCTTTCCTGCAGTGACAGCCCGCCTCGTGCTTTCGAAGCTCAGGGAGGAGAGGACTGAAGTGAGAAGACCGGGCCAGTGCACCTGCTCCGCGCCCGGCAGCGCCCCGCAAGGGCCAAGCCAGGGGCCGGTGAGCGAGACTCCCAGGGACACGGAGTCGCGGGCCCAGCGCCACTCGGCGCGCCCGCCGCGAAGACACAGGCAGTACCCTAGGCGGACACCGAGCGCGCCCGCGGCCTCGCAACCGTATGGAAACTAAACGACCGAGAAGTAGGAAAGAGGGGCGACGAGCCACCGCTCGCCCCGCCAGTCGGCCGGCCTGCCTCACCTCACCAGCCCCGCTGCCCCTGAGCCCGTAGCGGCTCTTCAGACGCTCCACTAATAAATCCTGCCCAGGCGGCTTCACGACGCGCCGATCCATGGTGCGCCGCGGATTTGCGGTCTCCTGAGGAACGGCTTTCAAACCGGCACGGGGCGGTGCAGCGCGGTGACGCCTGAGGCTCCGCCCCCAGTAAACTAACGGGGGCGGGGGAGACGCAGAGGCGGAACGCTGGGGCGCGTGTGCGCTATGACGCACTAGCCCCGCCCTCCAGAGGGTAAAGTGGGCTGTGGGCGGAATTCGTGCTGCACCGGTGCTGGACGATCATACCCCGCCCCCGGGGAGGTCCCTTAGGCTGCGGGCAGGAACCGCCGGATATAGGCTTCACAGGAAAGCGACAGGCGTCACCTAGCACCTTATGGGTCTATGGTCCTCGCGTTGCGGGTATTTTTAGTTTACTACACATGATTCAGTGATCATTGGCATTACATCTCCCGTACAATTTAACGAAGTAGGTTTAGGTTATGTCTACACAACGAAACACCCGTATTCACCACAGAAGACCTGCCTGTCACCCAGAAGACCCCTCCTTTCCTCTCTGCCTGCCTTCCCCATGTTGGGCGAGGGGTATCAAAAAGCGTTAGAACATAAACTTCCTTTAAAAAAAAAACCGAAATGACCTTCCCAGTGCATAGCTGTCTTTGCTTGCTTATCAAACTAAAAACCAACAGTAATCAAGATTAAGGGGAATAGCTGCAAACTGATTGTCCGGTGTGTCTGGATTTTTAGTTTTCAAACGCCCGAATTGTAGAGGATCAATTCAGCGAAGTAATTATCTAAAATTTAAGCCAATACTTTCATCCATAAAGTATTATAAAATGCATAACTCCATCTTTAAGCGGGTTTTAACAAGACAATATAAAGTCCGGCCACTTTGAAAAAAGTACGTATCAATGTGAGTTTATAGTACAAAACAGAAATCAGAATTCTTTCCTGACATGTGACATGAAGGTGTTTTATATAATGCCTCAAGACATTTGTAAGCATCCATGGGATACTAATACTGGGAAAATCAGTTCACATCATTTTGAGAAATTTTTCATGAAGTTCTTAAAGCTTTTGAATTATAACTGTTTTAATAGAATACTATGAAATCTACAAAAAGTCTCTTGAAAAGCATTTGCATTTACTTAGAATTTATTTTAAATTCATGATAATGGTATCAACAGTGTCAGGTGAAACTTTACAACACTTTTTACATTACACAGGTTTCCAAAGAAGTCAGTTCTAAATATTAAATGTGAATATATATAATCCACAGTTCTCTAAGATTCAAAGGGTGTAAGTGGCACATTTAGGGTAGGTTTCTTTATGGCAATGTCCCTACCTTCATCACACTGGGGGTTGAACAGTTAGTAATACAGAATACTCTTTCCAAATCACCACTTGAGAGGGAGTAAACCTTACTTCCTTTACTCACTAGACAAAAGGAGGTATTTTCACTGGGAAGGGAAGAAGGCAGACAACATTCATGATTAGAATACACAAAATTTTGTATTCCAGCTAGATTCCTTGAAGTTCTACACAGTAAAAACATACCCTCTTTATTAGTTTGCCTAACTTTTGGCAGAAGCTACTTCAAAATGCATCTTCAATGTGTATCAACCTTGTGAAAATCATGTGGCAGTTTAATTTTGCGGACCCTTAATTTTCCTCCTCACTAGAACAGACTAGATGTACAAGTAACAAACTTTTAAATGTCATGGTGGTTATCAATTGTCACTTTATTTCTGCTACAAAATTCACCAGAAAAAGTTACTGCAACAATCTAGTATAAAGCAAATCTTTAACCAAAGAACATAGTACAGACCTTTTAAAAATATCCATTCTTTATCACAATAACTGCAAGGAAAAATTCAATCCTATCATCAGGACCAAGCTGAAGTTTCTGAGGTAGTAGAGACAGTTAACAAAAAAAGAAAAAAAAACTCACAAAACTAAGGAAAAGTCGACCAGTTTTTAAAAATTATCTTCAAAGGGCACAGGAAGCTACATATTTTAAGAAAGAAGGCATTCCACTTAAACATTAATTTGAATTACACAGGAGGTGTAAAGATTATACAAAAGAGCACTTTGGTTAACTATCTTCTGTGGCTCTACCCACTCACAAAGGAGTCTCTGTGCATAAATAAGCACATCAATAATTAAGATCACTGATATACATACTTCAGATCTAAAATAAAATTATCTGAGTTGTGGTCCCTATATTTGAATCGTTAAGTATATCCATGCAGGAAGTCCAGATATCTAAAAAGGAATTAAAAATTAAATTGCATATATCATATTCCTTCAATAGTTTGCGAAGGTCTATTGCTTTTAACAAGATTAGTATTATTCCATTTTAATACAGATATGTCAGGAGTACATAAACACAAGTACACCTGAATTACATCAGTGTTTAAACTTTTATTTCACACCATGCAAGGTCAATTATAACACATTAAAGTGACAACAGCTATAAGCTGCAATTTTACATTTGTACATTGGAAACATTCATTTTCAAAAGCTGAACACAATTACCATATTGTCTGTAATAGATAAGCTTCAATTCAATTGCTTATACAGATAAAATTTACTATGAAAAACAATGATTTTTATAGCTGTCCACATTCTGTGATACTAATTCTTTGACTAACAGAACCTGTGGGAGAACCAAATGATTCGATCTTTTTCACAGTATCCATGCCATTCTTAACAAACCCAAACACTACATGTTTAAAGTCCAAATGTTCTGCCTTTTTCAGTGTTATAAAAAATTGAGAATTATTAGTATCCCGGCCTCGATTGGCCATAGATAGTAAGCCAGGGCCAGTATGCTTCACATTAAAGTTTTCATCTTCAAATTTATCTCCATAAATGGACTTTCCTCCTGACCCATCGTGTTTGGTGATATCTCCTCCCTGAAAAGAAAATTTTTTTAATTAATAGCAGTCCTGAATAATATATTAAAATACACACAGAAATCATCACAAGATAAATTCTAATTACCTAGCTTCCTTAAGAATGCATTTGAGGACAGGAAATTTAGCTCAGTGGTGCTGCCACCTGCCTCTCAAGTGCAAGGTCCTGAGTTCAATTCCTGGTACCCCCCCACCCCCAAAAAGATAATGCTTCTGAAAAATAAATATATACTTTTGAGACAAAAAAAAGCCAAGTATAGTGACACAGGACTCTAATTCCAGCACTTGGGAGGTTAAGGCAGGAGGATTGCCACAAGTTCAAGGCCTGCCTAAACTACACAGCAAGACCCTCTCTCAAAAGAAGAGTAAAATAAAATGATCTTTTCCCTCCTTCAGCTTCCAGCAGATTCCATCATTATTAAAAGTATGGACCCTTCTAGTATGAAAGTTTAGAGCAGGAGTAGAAACTTGAGTGATGACTCCAACCACTGAGCAGGAGAGCTAAAGAAATCTCAAGACAACTATGGGATGGGGTCAAGAAGAAACACTCTGGTTCCACCGCCTGCCTTGCAAGCACAGGGACCCGAGTTCCATCCCCGTTACCCGCCTCCTCCCAAAAAAGGCCGGGTATTTAGCTCAGCTGTTCCACCACCTGCCTCACAAGCACAAGGACTCAGGTTCCATCCCCAGTAACAAAAAAAAAAAAAAAAGAAACACTACAATTTCCTGAGTTACTGTGGCATACTCTTTTAGAACGTATACTGTGATTGTTATACTTACTTGACAACCTAAATCTGGAATTACTCTGTGAAAAGTGGAGTTCTTAAAGCCAAAGCCTTTCTCTCCAGTGCATAGTGCTCTGAAGTTCTCAGCAGTGTGAGGAACAATGTTTGAAAGTAACTCCATGGTTATTCTTCCTAAAGGTTCCCCGTCTGCGCAAACATCAAAGAACACCACCGGGTTGGTCTCTCTTGATAATTCTGCTGCCAGTGACATTTGTCCTTTCTGAAGTTTCAATAAATTCTGCTGGCATTCTTCAAATTTTTTCTTAAAACATTCAGCCATTTCTTTTGTTTTAAATCTCACTGCAAGCTGTTCCACTTTTGCTTCACCATCTATTGAAAGAAAAAAATGATCTTAGTATTGAAATAACTTATAAATTGTGTTATGTCTGTTACAGGTTTTAGAAAAGTCAAATGAATGGAAAGTAGTATCGGCATGTAGCAACTCACCTGCATAATCTGAGGCAGTCCAAACTAAAGCATTATTCGAAACATTTAAGGGTTTTAACTCCATTGCTTTAGTAATAACATGGTTTGCACACACTTTGAAGACCTGGTCTCTTCTCATCAGGATTCGATAATAATTCTTCATTGTGTGCCAGAGAATCTTAATATCTCCAACACCACGCTCCTTCCACTGACTAACATCTCGATCCCATCGGTATAGTTTGGCTCTCTCTTTAAACAAAATTTCTTCATCTTCTTCTCCAGATTTTACTTCCACCTGTAAACAGATGATTATTCATAACTGATGCATGTAATATATAGCACATTCCCCCATACCTAAATTCTCTAACATATTTTCTTTGTAATGACATTAACAGATTTTTTTAAATTATAAAAACTGATGCTAATACCCTAAGACTGGAACACACCTGATCTGGTGGAGGCAGTAAAGATCTACTTTATCTTTATATGGTTTGCTACTATGTAGCATTCACCCTCCTCTTGGGAATTAAATGCCTTCCTTTCTAGGACAGAAGAAGTTTCAAATAGTGCTGGTTCTTGAAAGGATATTAACCAATGACAGAATGGAAAATGACATAAAAATTTTTCATGAAAAAATACTCTTATTTTTTAAAAATGTAAAGGTATTTCTTATTGAAAAGACTTTGGCCAAGTACAGGAACCTATTTTGGACTCCAGAATTATGGGAACAAACATGGTATTTTAACATAAGAAAAAATTACTTCACCAAGACCGGGCATGTAAAGGTATAAGATCCCAGTAATGAATGTATATGTATTATCTACCTAGAATGTACCAATAAATTAAATTAAGAAAAACTTACTTCTTTCTTTCCAACAGTTGCATATGGAGGCACAAAACCTTCAAAGTAAGGCTGGAGGTGTAGCTCAGTGGTAGAGCCCAGCATGCACAAAGGCCTGGGTTTAATCCCTATCATAGCACACATGCAGGCTGGACTTCTAACAAAAAGTTCTGAAAAAAAGAATC